CATTATTGTCCCACAGTGGAGAAATGTTGGAGTTACAGCAGCAAAAGCATTACAGCAAATGTGGTCACACAAATGTGGACCTTAAAAAGTGTATTAAAAATAAACGAATAAGTGACATAGTTAAAAAAATAAAAAATACTGTACTGTAAAGTGTTTTTACAATATAAATAAAATAAGATATAATAACATAAAATATATAGAATAAGACCTTGTATAAGCAACAGCATTCACCTGGTCACATTGTGTCATTACTTTTTAACATCAAACCAACCTATGTAGCCTTACAAACTAATTTCACTAAGAATTAAAGGATTAAGAAGCTTCAAGTAAATGCAGCTAAATAATTGAGATGCAGCAGACCTGAAACCCCCATTAAAACACAAATTACAACCACTAAACAATATCTTAACAAATTCAAAAGGTGCCCCGGTGATGTCATCAGATCTATAATTTTGATATAAAGGATAAAAGACACAGAAGGGTTCAAATTTCCTTATAACTGTCATAAAAGACAATTACATCAATTTGTAAAAGTTATATACCGTATTTTCACGACTATAAGGCGCATATAAACGTCTTTTTTTCCCCTCAAAATGTGCGGCGCGCCCTATGTGTTACTGCGGACGTTGTTGAGACCACCATGAGAACATTAAAGGGGGAAGCGTGGATTGTGTATAAAAGAACAGGTATGTGCTTTATGCAGAACATTGTTGTCATAACAACCCTGAAAATGGCAAAGAGACACACCTATGAGTGAAATTTTTCCATCCGGACCACGACTATAGTAGCTCAGCAACGTCCGGCGGATTATAATGAAAAGCTAGCGAGCTTCCACTCCTACTGCAGCAAACACATCGCCGACAAACGCATCCAGCCAAGCCACATCACCAACATGGACGAGGTGCCGCTCACTTTCGACATCCCGGTGAATCACAGAGCGGAGAAGAAGGGGACCAGCACGGTAGCGATACACACAACGGGGTATGAAAAGGCATTGTTTACTTTTGTGCTTGGCTGCCACGCAAATGGACAGAAACTGCCGCCTATGGTGATTTTTAAGCAAAAGACTTTGCCTAAAGAGACTTTTCCAGCTGGAGTCGTTATTAAGGCAAATGAAAAGGGCTGGATGGATGAGGAGATGAAAAAAGCGTGGCTGAGGGAGGTGTATGTAAAGAGAC